TGGGGGAAATGGACCTTTAACCTTATAACTAAAATTTTGATCTAGACAAGTCTAGACAAAAATTTCATCACAGCTTGAAAGAGCATCACAAAATTAGTAATATTCCGAAGTTTCGTTGCGAAATGTTGTAAAATGCGGATAATATAGCCTTGCGAAGTTTGCAATTTTCAGTCATTTTAGATTACAAACGGGAAATTGATACCCAAACACCCGATTTGGGTATCAATTTCCCGTTTGTAATCTAAAATGACTGAAAATTGCAAACTTCGCAGGGCTATATTATCCGCATTTTACAACATTTCGTAACGAAACTTTGGAATATTACTAATTTTGTGATGCTCTTTCAAGCTGTGATGAAATTTTTGTCTAGATCAAAATTTTAGTTATAAGGTTAAAGGTCCATTGGAGGATTTGAAATGATATCTCATACGAATAAATCACTATTTAATTTCTTTTGATCCAGTCCAAGAACTGAATTAATTTCGATCCAGTCCTAGGACTGGATCAATATACATCACCAGGTATCCAGTATTATCATGTGAGAAAAATAAAGCAATATGGTTGGCTAAATTACTCATGAATTATTAAGAGAAGATGTTTTTGTATGTTACGTAACACGCGCTCAAAACTAATGCGTATAATATACCACTTGTGGTTATGACTAAATTCAAAATTTTTATTTTTCGATAAGTTTCTCAATCGGCAAACGAACTTAAAAAGTATGTTTAGTGCTTTATCTGTAAAATAATGCTAAAATGAAGAGATTTTAGATGATACGCCAAAGAGAAAATGATGTCTGAAGTTCAGTAAGTTTTGCTTATATGGCTGTAAACATGGCGTCAATTGTAAAGCATCATTGATAATTGTATTTTAATTGACAATTTTTAACTATTATTTTATGTTTCTCAATCGGCAGATGCATTGAAAAAGGTAGCTAACTCTATAAACTAGAGAATAAAGCTAAAACAAAGTAATTTTGAGAGGAACGCCAATTTTAGGTTTTGAACACTTTTCATTGTAAATACGTGACATCGAAAAAAATTGCCTCTTAATGAATTTGAGATTTATCAATAATAAATTAGCCGACACATGTCCTTCATAAGAACACGGACATTTATTTAAATTATACAATGGGCATATCACAAAAATACTCTAATTCTAATTCAATAAATTAAAACAGTCCGTAGTGAAATAAATAAATTAATTGTCGCTTATCTTTACAATCTATTTTGTAAAATGAATTTCGATTTCTTATTATAAATATCAAATTTTGTTTCACTACATTTTATACACACACTCGATCATATTATTTGCGAAAAAGTATTTAGCCTTGTTTTCTATAATAATTATGTAATGTTGTAAGGAAGGATGGCCTAACGCGCTGCATCAAGCTACGAACGTCGTGTATTGATTTATTTCGTTCAAGTTTCATCTGCGTTTTGATTCCGTACACTCTTTACAATGTTCAGCCCAGGCTGTGTGCTAAAGTAAGAAAAACATTGTGTTAAAATTTTGCCAGAAGCATTTGCCATAGGAAAAACTACAGCAGTCATTTAATACTTGCACGAATATTGTCAAACTATACCGTACTGTTATTATCTTCCTGTACCGTGCTTTGCTATACCATATCTACTAGGGTGCGACAATTCAATATTTTTAGTTGTACCTGACTGGTACGCCAATGGTTGTTGCCGTGTACTTGCGCTTGTAGAAACTCAATGCTCAATGTGTACTTAGTCTTTATACAAAAAGTACATAGAGAACAAGTTTCTGAAAAGTATATTCAAATACTATACAATCGACCTCAACATCCCCTAGTGCTATCAGTCCAATCGTGTTTCATGCCAAGACATGTCAGACTTACACATATAGCAATTAAATTCCGGTATTGAATACCTTGGACTTGGAACGATCATATGGTGCCAAAAGGTTAAGTACGCAGATAGCAAGAGTTCCGCGTACCTGCGTGGTACGTGGCTGAAGACAAAGATGTACCAGACCGTAATATTGGCGCACGTCCGGTACGTAAGTACGCGAATTGACCATTTGCGTAATAGACTAAATTTTGATCTAAACAAGTCTAGACAAAAATTTCCTCGCAGCTTGAAAGAGCATTACAAAATTAGTAACATTCCAAAGTTTCCTTGCGAAATGTTGTAAAATGCGGAAAAAATAGCCTTGCAAAGTTTGCAATTTTCAGTCATTTTAGATTACAAACGGGAAATTGACAGCCTCGAAGGGTTTGAGACTGTCAATTTCCCGTTTGTAATCTAAAATGACTGAAAATTGCAAACTTCGCAAGGCTATATTATCCGCATTTTACAACATTTCGCAACGAAACTTTGGAATATTACTAATTTTGTGATGCTCTTTCAAGCTGTGATGAAATTTTTGTTGAGATCAAAATTTAGTCTATTACGCAAGTGGTCAATTATCGCACCCTGTGTCTCTACACGTTTAAAAATCTCACACCTTGTCAACAAGATATGTTCGCACTGCTTGTTCCCAATTGTTGACAGAAGTCTGGAACAAGTTGTTATCATCTTGTAACAAGGTTGATGAGGCCAACAGACTGCAACAAGTTGTTCCAACAAGTCTGATATCGTTTGCTTGCAACACTTGTTAACAAGTTGATGACAACAAGTCGTAGCAATTTGTTACGAACAGCTTGTAATTGGTCTTGTTGGAACAACTTCTAGCAAGTCTATTACTGTCATTAAACCTTGTAAGAAGGTGATAACAACTTGTTACAGATTTGTCACAACAACTGGGAACAAGCAGTGCGAACACATCCTGATATCGGCTTCACAACAACCTTGTGACAACATGTTTGCAGGTCTGTAACGTATGTACCATATTTGACATTTAAAAACGGTGCAAGTTAAAGTCAATACAACGTGGGGTGCAGGACTCGAATTTCCCTGAAATCAATCGACGGCAATGGCGTTAAAAATTGCCGTAGAACGCAACAGCTGTCTACGGCAATTTTGGCAGTTTCCACGGCATTTTTCAAATTACTGTAATAAAACTTTAATTTTATTCTTACTCTGGATTTTTGACAAGCTAGAAACATATCTACGTATTTCTTTAGTGTTGTTTTTTTTCGAAGAAAACAGACTAAAATAGTGATTTACGCATGATTTAATCAACATCTGAATTCAAGTGTCAAAATAGTAATGCACAGTGTTAGTGAATAGTACAAATATTGCACTCAGTACGGCAACAAATTGCCGTCGTTGCCGCAATGATCCACGGCATTTTGTTCTCCCTCTACGGCAATTGCCGCGATAAAATTCGAGCCCTGGTGGGGTGTTAATATATTAATTAAACTCACTTGACATTTAGCACTGCAGTACCAGGCCTTCTGACAACCTGAACACAGGAACGAGGCCTCCTTGCCACAGACACCACACATACAACGATTATTCTTAATCCTCTTCTTCGCTGGCTCCCCACTATCAACAATGCCTCGTTCGTGATTCACCATCTTCCTTATGGCTTCTTGTCTCTCATTGTACTCCCGTTGTTTCCTCAAAGCTTCAGTAACACTAGCTTCAGCCTGACCACCCATTCTGGCCATGTAAAAAGCTGGGTTCCCGGCACTCCGAGCCCTATCGGGATAAGGTACCCCCGTCATTCCGTACCCTTCGTGTTGCCGTGCATACATAGCTAAATATTGTTCTTTCCTTAAAGCTAATTCGTCTGGCATATGATGTGATTTATCACTCATTCTCTTGTTCATATCTTGTGCTCTGGCGTGGGGTGAAAGTTGTACTTCCGATTGCTCCAACTTCCGCTTCCGGTTTTCTAATTCCCACTTCCTCCGCAATTCTTCTTCACGCGTCCTCGGGCTAGGTCGTTCGTGTTCGCCACTCTCCGCTCGCCTCTCGTCTATTCGCTCGATCTTTCCCGCCATCATTGCTTTACGTCTTTCGTTTTCTAGTTGCGCCAGGTTCATGCGATGTTTCTCAATCGCCAAACTTCGTTCCGTTTCTTGGTGCTCCCGTTTTGCTGTCGCGTACTCGGGTTTCAGGCGCTCGTTTTTCTCTGCCGGTACACCCTGAAACAATTGGAAATTATTCGTTGAATTGTACTTAACCTTTATGTGGCATTCAACCTGCAATTTATATCGGGAGTGAGAAAACAATGTAAAATTAAATCTGCCGCACACTGGAGAAAAACACTGAGGTAACTGCCTCGCGTGGCGTCTAGCTCAGCGTGTTTCTCTCGTGGCCACATATGGCCAGGCATATTTTTCAAGCTTGCCCGGTGTGGATATACACTCAGAGTAACTCCAGTAATGTATACAGTCAGTGCTTACCTGAGTTTGAATACTGCTAGGAGGGTAGCCAGGTATCCTAGCGGGTCCCCTCATACTCTGCCATACTCCGAAGTCACCAGGATTAGCCATTACTGGAATCCCAACCATTCCTCGGCCGTAGCCGTGTGTGGCGCCAGGTAAAAGGTTTCCATGGAAATATGATGGCATGGGCAGTGTTGCTTTCTGGGTAGAGGTATGGACACTAGTCACCAATCCTCGTGGCGAAGTGCGGTCTTGAAGCTTTCTTTGTTCATCCATGTTCGGGGGAGAATGTTTGGTATTTGGCGAATGTTTTTCAGGATTTCTATATTTTTGCGGATCGACCCCCCTGGCTTGATTCTCGCTCCAGGCTCTCGGTGGAGCCCCAGCTTCGAGCCTCCGCTGTGCGCTGCCATAGGCTGCTATAACTTCGTCCTTGCTCCTGTCTGTACCCTCCAATTTTTCTTTAAACGTTTTATCCAACATATTAAATCTTTCATTAAAATCTCTGTTGATAGACTCGCGGTCTAAAGTGCTCGGCGAAGGACTGGGTCTAGATTCAGGCCCAGTCTTTTCTTTCTTTCCCTCGCCAAGTTGAATATATCCCGGATGTGCTTCTTTCATGTGTCTGACGGATGGCGAATATTTTCCCGGGGATTCTGGTCGCGTGCGTGGAACATGCTCGGCTCGTGACGACCTCATGTCTTGAGGAGAAATATTGAATCTCTTGACATCATTTCTATCCAAACGTGACGTCATAAGAGGCTGTTGGTGGTGGCGATAATTTTCCGGTTGCATTCCGACGTCTTTTGACGTATGTCTTTTATCCTCCATATATTTTAAAGCATATCGTTTTTCCTCCGAAGGCGATCCGGCGTATTTCGAAGTATCCGCGGTAACGCCTCCTGGTGTATGGGATTGTGGCTTGTGCATGCCGGCATACGGGTGCGCAGCCTCGATTCTATGTTTATATCGCTCGTCTATTGGAAAACCGTGTTCATCAATGAGGCCTGGGGCCAAATAGCGCGGATGATGTATTGGTATCCCATGAGGCATTACCAAGTGACGATCGTAGACTGCCGACAGCCGACGTTGCATGGCGATAGGGTCCGAGTGTAAGTCGAGATGATCCGAACGTTTATCGCGTAATTTGTCGTGTAGGGCATGTTGGGGGTATATGTGTGCATCTGTGGATAGGACTGGATAACCAGATACATGTGGGTGCATATTTTCAACTTTCTTCCCATGGAATGGACAGTTCATATCGGGTTTTGAATGCTGGCATACTTCTAGCCGACCGGGCAAACCGCCCTGCAGGGCAGGGTGTCCGGGATGACGCATGCCTGCTGCATTGTGGGTAATTAAATGAGGTGTGAAAGTCTTCGGGGAGTATCCTGCAACGTAAGCTGGGCCCATGAAAGGTAGACCCGGCGGTAGCTCAGCTGGGACGCGTAGTGGTTTGAGATCCTGGGTACGAGGCTCGTGTATCCCAGGATGCATTTCGTCCATGGCATGCTTATCAGACCGTATGATAGGGCTGACAGGGTTCACTGATCTTCCAGTTTGAATTCTCGAAACTTCCTTATGATCCTCGCTGCTTGCACGTTTACTCTCCTCGCCGTCCGAAGTCACTTCGATAATTTTATCTTCCTCCCCACCTGACAAGCTCTCCTGTCTCAAACTTAACCTCCCTGCGAGGACACGCTCATTATGTCCATTTCTATCCTCCCTTGATCCTGCTCTATCCTGCGAAGTCCTCAATTCTCCCTGAACGCCACGTAGATCTTGGGTAAAACGCGGTGATATTTGCCTGCTCTCGATTGAATGTCCAGAACCAACAGAAGATGATCTCTTGGGATTTTTCTCATTGGGGGAAACTGGTACACGGTTTGGAGATGGTGCTACCCTATCTGGTATTCTGTTTGGTGACTGTGGTACTTTGTTGGGTGAGGGTGCTGGTACTCGGTGTGGTGATGCTGGTATTCGATTTGGTGATGGTGCTACCCCATCTGGTAATGACGATGACAGTCTACCATTGGGCGAATGTGGTACCTGGTTGGGTGGTGGTATACTTGTGTTGTTTGAAACCCGATGAGGTGACGCTGCTACTCTTTGTGATTCCGCTACTCGATTTGGTGATATTCGATTAGAAGAACTTGTAATACAATTTGGTGTAGGTGCTAATCTATTTGGTGATTGTGGAACAGTCGAGGGTAACCGGTTTGGTGACGCTTGCACCCGATTAGGTGAACCTGTTTGTACTTGATAAGATGGCGTTGCACCACAACTCGTTGCCTGTAATCTATTTGGCGAAAGAGGAACACTGTTCAGTGATGTCTGTAAACGATTAGGCGATATTTGTACTCGTTTAGGCGATGTTTGCACAAAATTAGGCGATGACTCTACGAGATTTGGTGAAGATTGTACAACATCAAGCGACGCTCTCGTTGGTGAATACTGTTTAATTTCGGGTGAACAATTATTCAAACTTCGTGGCGAAATCCGTTCCTGTTTCGTTGGTGAATATTTAATCTCGGGAGAATGATTATTTTGCACTAACGGATCGTTTTCATACTTCACCGGTGAAGGAACTTTAAGGATTTCGTTTTCATGCTGTGAAATAACGATTTCATTGTCTTGTGCAATTTCATCATCCGAGATTCGTTTGGTATTATAACCTTCGTCTAAAACTTCATCTTTGTAAGTCTGTTCAAACACTGGACTGACCGACGTCTGCATGGCTGTGCTCTGATCAAGTGTATTGTTTATTGACGTACAGTCCTTGGGGTCCTTGAGCGTCTCCTTCAAGCTCTCAGTACTAGCTCTACGCGTTTCCTGCTCACTAACCCTCGCTGCTTTCTCATTCCCAGGTGTATTTTTCTGGTTCATCCATCTCTCGACCAGCCAGTTATGTCGAGGAAAGTCACTTCGTACCCTGTTTTGCGTAGCATCGCTTTCGTAATCCACGCCGTGTTGTCTCTTGCCGCCATCTTGGTTCACAGCTTTCCTCTTACTTCCCCCGTGTTCATTATCTACCGAGTCATCACTACAAGAACCACGTTTAAGACCACTTGAGCCGTCCTTCAAAGATCCTTTGTCCATCTTCACTGATCCACAGCGTTCCTTACTTCCTTCCTTTGCCCGTCTTTCTTTGCGAACACTCAGAGACTCGTCATAAGCATTCTTCCCCTCGCTCGATTTCCGATGCTTATGGCCGCTTTTCTGGTATGTTTTCGCTTTACTTTTTTCATCCCCAGCTTCATCATGTCCACTCAAATCACTGCTTTCCCCAAGAACCTCAATTTTTTCACTGCTATATAGTTCTCTCGTCGCACCCTCAGAATTCGCGTGTTCGTGGATCTCTCGCGCGTGCTCGTGGACTCCTCGCGTGTTGCTGACGTGTTCGTGGTTCGCGTCATCTGCGTGTCCATTGACTTCGTGGTAATTTTCCCTTGAGCTCGAATGTTCACATTGTATATCAGACATTTTATGCATATGCTTATTAACCCCAGATCCTTGGCTCGAGTCATCACAGTCACATGGATCTAGTTTTCTTTTTAATGCCTCGTCACCAGTCCCTGCGCCGTTTACTCTAACATCCGCTGACTTATATTCATCGTGGGTTCGTTTTTCCGAGCTGTTCCGAATATTTTCCGAATATTCTGCAGTCCCGTTATGATACCGTCTGTCGTATTTCCGATCGTCGTCAGATCGATCATCTGTTGGGACATCACGTGACTGATCATGCATTTGATCACGTGTCAACAACTGAGTATGTTCTCGTTGTAATTCCTGTCCGCGTTTCACATCCTCTTTAAGTTTCTTTCTCTGCCTCTCTAAATCTTGAGTCAACCGCTGTTTCTCACGTGGACCGTCCTTTCCTCCTTTGGATTTGCTGACGTCATCAGCTACGACGTCATTGGCGCTGACGTCACGCGAAGTGGGGGTATGCCCCCCATTATCCCAGACATCCCGTGAAGTCTTTTGTTTCTCCTGCGACCCTAAGCGTCCTTTCCGAGAATCTATATTTTCCCGTTCAGCTCTTTGGTCTTCATCCGAGTAATACTTGTTCCTAGGCCTCTCCATCATAACACGACGGTTCATCACGTGATGCGCTTCTCTAGGCACGTGTCTGACACCTGATGAGTCAATGCTATTCCTCCGTTGGTACGCGTCATGGTAATAGTTTGCCATTAGGTTCCCAACCCTGGATGGGTTGTTGGGTATAAATCCAGCAGCGTGGTGTGACATGTAGTGATTATCCTGAAAGAGAGGAATACCGACGTTAACACCGATACACACTCACTTTTACTGTCGCATGTAACTTGCTTACAACTTGAATTGTACTGTGTAAATCAAGCACACAACACTTCTACGTTGTCGTAGACCAGTTGTGTACTTGATTTACACAGTACAACTCAGGTTGTAAGCAATGCGACAGTTTTAGGTCCTTTACGAAGGTCTTAATGTGCCTCTTTGGAATCCAAGCATTGTCTGACTCTCGTACAGTCAGGGAGCAATGAAGCGACGCTACATTCAAGGGCAAACTCGAAATTCAATATGTGCGCTTCGAAAGTTCAAACCTAAGCCAGGATGAAATGAGGATGAGAGTGCAAGAGAGTTGACAGTCACGTGATCTTGGTTAGCTGTTCTTAATGCTTTCCCAACACTATCATGTATTCTATTGAAGTTAAAACATAGTTGGAACATTCATCAAACATTTATTTTGTTCATCTAGAGCTTGAAATGTCCGCTGTAACAATGCGTGATCTCTCATCCTCGTTTAAATTAAGAAATCATGAATTACAGGTCAACTCCAAATGTGATGCTAGCTTTTTAAGCCTGGAGTTTATATAGCTGGTATTGCGTAGCGTATAACCTAGTCTGCGAACCCAGACGTCATTTCCCACGCTCATTCTTTGCTCGGAAAATAACTTTTCTTTCCAGCAAGGAATATTAATGAAGTCCCACAGTCCCATATGCAAAATGGCGACCAAGTTTAGTCCTGGGGACAAGGATGAGGAAAAACTCGTGCCCAGACTATTGCGCGACCATGTCAAATTCCCCCCACCCTGGGACCTTGAGAAAATGTCAAATTTCTTATTTTTCCCCACCCTCGGGAAGACAAACTAAGTCAAATCACCCGGGTATCCCCCCCCCCCCCGGGGCTAAACATTGACAAGTGCATAAGCGTGGGAAATGACATCTGGGTTCGCAGACTACGTATAACCTAGCTCTATTCGAAGATTGGCTGCCTTTGCAGAATTAAAACCTACGGGCGTAATCCAAGCAAATTGTTAGCTGTCAGTAAAATATTTTTTAAGATGTCAGTCGCAAATTATTGTTTCGTTATCAGCCATCAGTTAAGGTACTTTTCATGCGCCGAACCTAATGCAAATGAAATGAAACAAAGAACTTAGCTCATTAACATTAGGTTCGGCACATGAAAAGTTCGACGTTTGACCCTGGCCTTGGTTGTCAATGCTTCTCAGTCCCGGCTTGTTGACAAGTTGTGACAAACCTGTATCAAGCTTGTTACATGCAAATATGACGTGTACGTTCTAGAAAACTTTGTCACAGCATGTTGAGTCAATCACACCTCGGCTATACGTGCCTATTTTCCAACGAGATTATTGCTTGAGAGCGAGCTACGAAATAGCTCTTAAGACTTAACCCAGCTGTGAAAATCCCTCTCAGTAAGTACAATGTCAGCCAAAGGGCAAATAACTTCTAATGCACGAGACGTCTTAAATCTTTGTTCCCACAAAAAGACAATTAAAATATTTGGGAACGTAAAAAATGGAGTTTTTTATAGCATTATCTATCTGTCTAATGACCGATTCCATTTTTTATATGTATACACAATGGCAACATTAAATAAATAGTACATTATAAAGCAAATAGCGCTCAAAGATAGGCGATGACGCAGGTACATTAGGTGTCCTTATTCACATATATATCATTACAAAATTAACTATAGCCAGATTTCAGCTTGACTATTCACCAAGCCGGCTGATAAGCAACCGGAGGAAACAACAGTTCACCACGCACTCTATAAATAAACATAAAATTCCTGCTTGATGGTCATTCAAGGCCATGCCTTCACACCCATACCGCCAGCTGTTTATACCAACTCTCATGCGCATTCTCATGCAACTTTGAACTGCGGTTCAATGCACATTTTGTTGAGAGTTGTTGAATGTTAGAATAATAGAATGCATGGTAGAATGTTGAAATATATACTTCAATATTTTTCTAGTTTATAACATACATTTAAGAACTACTTTATACTTATACTATGATCCAGCCGACAGTCTTCAAGGCTATCCACTTTCATGAACTTTGAGCTGGTTCAAGTTTTTGATGTGAGTTTTTGCTCGTTTAACCAGAACATCCAGTCAACTTTCATTAACTCTCATGCCACTCTTGGTCCCAGTGTTTGAAAACTCATGTATAAGTAGAGTTTGGTTGGCTGATCGACCCTCATTGACTTTGAGATGCTTCACATTTTTTTATGAGAGTTGATAAAGTTTTTGTAATCGCGCGGTAATATCCAGTCAACTCCCATAAACTCTCATGCAACTCTTGTTCTCGTTCGACCGGGCTACCAGAGTTGAGATAACTCTCTGAACAAACCGTTCGCTTCTCAACTCTCATCAACGTTTGATCAGAGCTTTACCCCCAGCGTTTTTTTCGCTGATGAAAAATATCGCAGATAATACTACTCTGAAAATGAAGATACCAGCTCAGATTTACATATTCTGAGTTCAATGTCAGGCATTCGTAGCAGATGTCAGCACAACCGCGCGTTATGTGCTAGTGGGTAATCCGACGTCGCCATCCGGAACATTTTGAGAATTTTGTTGTCATAAACGCCATTGGAAAAAATGTTTAAAAAATCCTTAGTAAGAACTATGCAACATGCATATTCCTGTTTTGAAGGGGAGATCCTTAAAAGATATGATAATATTTAATCAACATAAATACCAGAACATCATAACTATATTTTGCAACTAGAGTAATAATTGTTTTATCTTGCAAAGCCAATATATAAATGAACAATATACTGATAATTCGCCGAAGAGAACGAAGAACTTATTTTACAAAGACTACTCATAAAATTAACCCTAATACTGATGAGCTTCGCACTAATTAATGAATACATTCGCCCACATTTCCCTTCGACGTTCGACAATAATGACTTGGTAAAATTTCACCACTTAACAAGATTGAATTTAATACCTCGGAAATCTATCATCAAAATATTTACTGCCATCGCCCAACTTGACCTGCATAATAAGGCCATGTACATTTCACCTGTCGAGACTTGAGTTTGATTTTTGCAATATGCCGCTGTCTGGCAATTGATGGATGCATGCTGGTCAATCAGTGCGAGCAACCGATGGTGGTCAATTCCAAGAAATATTGTCACTTATTATAGGAAGCACTAAACATGATCTCTCTGTTCTATTTATTTGCCACCAAATATACACGACTACTAACATATAATGAATTTTTTCTCACTCTGATAACCGCAAGTTTAACCATCTGCTGGACGATAGTTTTTAGTAAAACCACGGGTAAAACCGACCTCTAATCTTAATTAATGTTCCGTAATTCTAAACTTGATCATCTGCTTTGGATTAGCGATTTAACGTAAACAAGCTGCGGATAGATTTATGTTTTAATAAACTTCAGACTGACCAAATTTTCTTAATTAACGAGCTTGGGGCTGTCAGGGCCATTGCCTTCAAAGAGTTCTGATGATCTGATAATTAAAATAATTATGGATGATGTCTTAATCCTGGCATCTTCCATATTGTTGAGATTTATGCTGGCAACGATGAAAGATTGTAGCACTACTGGAAGTCTAAGACAATAAAAAAAAACTACGATGTTATCCCGCATTAATTGCAGGATTATATAGAGGACACGTCATGAACGTGGCCAAACTTTATGTCACGTTTAGTTGAGACGAATTATGTAAAATTATATTAAATTGGTAAAAAAATATTCCTTATTGTTCTCAAATATCTCTTTCTGTAGAAAATTATGCCCGTCCTTTGTGCGTATAGTATAATCTCGGCGTGATATAAGTATACATTGATCGTATAATGACGTAAATATGTGAGATAAGATTAATTGACCTTATATTGTTGATCTATTAAAGGAGTTTTCATAGAATCAATACTATCACGCAATGTTTTATATTCGATGAATCTAGTGAAATCTCGTCTCGTAACTCTCGTTGTGTTATGTAGTGTGTCGAAAAGATGTTTTGTATATTGTATTAGTTTGTACATACACGAGAAACGAGTAATTCCTATCTTCGACTGGTTCTCCTTACACATTTTAGGGGTTTTTTTTATGGTAATTATTGTATACAATCATTCAATAAATCCTGACCGCCTGCCAAAGACTCTTTGTCATCAGGTCAGTAAATGGGCTGCGCTCAAAAGCTAAGCTTTATTAGATTATTTGGAATCAAATTTCGATTCAGGAAAGCTTAAGTTGGGTTAATTTCTACCACATTTTATAGAGCCAGTTTTCATAATGGTCCAACATTGAATTACCGCTGCACATTCGGAGAATGAGGAATTAGCTTTTTTTACAAATTACGTAACTTTATAATGCATTTTAAGACGTTTGTGAATTGATAAAATAATTTCCACAATGAAAATTGTTAGCGCATTTATTGCTTTGGCTCTCCCGTTGAATAATTACTGCCGGCAAAATGTATATAATTGCATGTAACTCAGTAAGATAAACTTATGGTTGAAAGATAAAATGATAATTGATAAATTTTGTCTTGTAGCTCTAGTAATGATGTGTCGTAATGTAGATAAACTATATTACTAATTTATAAAAACTATTACTAATAGTAATAACTCGTGTTGTTAAGAATACTAATATTCCTATCCGGTCTATATCTGACTATAATACCCTGCTGCGTATATAAATATTACCCTCTGTTATATAGTGTTTTCAAATTACTAACCACAACGAGGCGATGTGAGAAATATTACACCATCAGTTTGAACATATTCCATGGCTTAAAATTTCGCTCAAAATCCACATACATGAAGCTTGAATAACTTCCCATGTAGCACATCACATCAAATAGGTTTGTAATATATACCAGTCCTCGTAGAATAGTCTTTTGACTTTCAAAATTGCGCAACTATATATAATTCCTTGTGATATATAACTCCTTGTGTGTAATGTAACAATTTTACTTTGTCAAATGTGCTTCGTATATTGTGCTCTCTGTATTGGTCCAATATCCAATATGTTTACATCAAAAACCGAAGACGTGCATCGAAAACCCTTCATCTATCGCTTCTGACGACAAACAATGAGGCTTCCGTTTTCACATGTTATATACTGGCCCTTGATATGGACTTAATGAGTTCCCCTTGTGACGTCAATCGAGTGAGATGACAAAGAAATGCCGCCACTAATCTTTTTGTGAAATGATTTGTAACAGTTATAGATCAACAGGAATGATAGCCTTCAGGCCACATAGTTGTGGGTGGGAGTTTTGTGAAAGAATCTTTTGTGACCCCATATTGCTAAGCCACATTTACAAACACGTAACGTGTTTATTTTAATCATCAGTTGTCCAAACCACGATTTGTGTTAACCTTAGGTTAACATTTAGCCTGTATGTCTGCTTATATCATAACCTCATTTGAGCCAGGTTGGATTTCTTGAAAGATTAGCCCGTAGCAGCTGGTCTAACGTCTAAGCTTATAAACAAGCCGACGGAAAGTTTTGTTTTGAACTTTATCATTAACTGTGGACTAAGCTTAACAGCTTCGAACAACCTGCCCTAGTGTTTGGTAATAATGATGCGAGATTATTCTCTTTGGAATTTTTCTTGAGATACACCTCAAAAATTAATTTGATCATAATCATGTTATATAATTCGATACAAATTGATACTATTTGCGTCTGGTCGCATTTTTCTCTTCAATTATTGTTATATAGGCCTACATATTGGTGTATACATAAGTTGTTTTTTTTTAATTGAGGAAGACCACAAATATGTTAATGTTTTAGTAAGTGTTTCAGGCCTGGAGACACAGACAGGTGAACATGTATGTAATGTTGTTATTCTAGAGATTAGGGGGACATTAGTACGCACGCGAGCATATTTATCTTAGAGATTTTTGCGAAAGTGGGGTAGGATTTGATCCTTGTGGTATACCACAAATTATGTTCATATTTAATGTTGTCTGGTGATCAGTCATGACTCATGAGCATAATAGCACACGCGAGCCATTTAGTTATTGTCTTTGGAATTTGATAGAGTGCCGAGTGGGCTGGGATATTCTTGTTCAATCATATCGATGTGTTCCAGTAAGGCCAGTAAGGCATGGTATTGCTTCTATGTCCTAACAAATTTTGATCAATTATAACTACTAAGTATAATTCTAATTTTTAATTTGTTCTCTCCGTGTGGCACAAAAGCGCTGAGCTGATTCGGACGGAGTTTTTCGAACTTTGAGGAACACCACAAAAAAAGTTTATATACAATATGTTTTGGGGGAATTACTCTGGGACAATCCTACACACACATTAATCTTGTATGCAATATTTTCATAGATTGAGCAGATTGTTTTAGCTCCTTGAAAAATACCGCAAAACTGAAAATCTCCAACAAGTTAATCTGTTATTCTTTCGGATTACTGTGGGACAATTAAACACCTATTCAATTTTTATGCATTTTTTTATCGACCAGTAGTTTTTTTTACCCTCGAGGTACACAAACTGTGTTTATATATAACATGTAAATCTGTTATTTTAAGAATTATTAATTATAGGACAATAAAATGTGTTTTATTTCACATTGATTAATTGCTATACGAGGCAAAATAAAATGTGTTTTATTTCACATTGATTAATTGCTATACGAGGCATGCGAGAAAGCACGATACCTTTTTTATCCTTGAGGAACACCACAAGTAATAATGCCTACACGAATTTTAACCAAATATGTATTGCTAAATGTTTAATTTTTTTGTTTATTTAAGAATACTCCCGATTTTGTGGGTTAAATTCACGTCTGGGCTTATCACTCTATATATAGCCTATAGGCTTAGGAATTTTTTTTGATATGTTTACACAATATGTAATTTGGCCACAAACGTGGCTTCAATGCATTTAGTCAGCAGAATTTTTTGTGATATTTTTGAACAATTTATATAGTTGTATAATTTTATGTTCGAGTCTTCTCCATGCGCTTTCCTAACCTAATTTTGCTGGCCTCGTTTGTTGGCAGAAATTTACTAGATACTATAATTTTTATATACATTTTATAGTTTTATAATGACACCCCACGCGAAAACAGGAACATTTTTACAAGCCAACGGAAACTTGATAATGAGTCTTTAACAACCTTTTGTCTTGATTTTTTCTTCAAAACAATCGTTTGCAGACGAAATATCCGCCTTGTCCGGACAGCCACTTGAGTTTTAGTTCCCGTTAAGAAGTATATCTTCAAAAATCTTAATTTCTTAAAAGAATTTGAATCACGAAGACATGACTAATTATTTTCCTTACTAACCAGAATTAAAATTTTATCCTAATAAATATCCCTGAACATTAAATTGATCGATTCCCGCGATTTAAAATCAAACCAAACCATGGACCTTAACCATTATAATGTACTATTATGTTTTCAAATTTATCGTACTTGGCATATTAGGTCTAACAAGCATTAAACCTGTCGTATTCTGGGAATATCGCCAAAAAATAAGGTTATCAGATAATCCGGTACATCATACATTTGTGTGAAAAGGAACATATGTTCTAGGAACGACTAGGATCGCATCCGTTAAATACTAAACCTAATATGGTATATATATATATGTTTCAGAATTGAGATGATAATCTATCTAAGAACTAGGGTTTTGTATGGGCTGGATAGTACACTATAGACTATAGTTTTTGTGATTTCTATGTTTTGAAGGATTTGAGAAGTTCGTGGGATCGAACTGGCTCAGCGTTAAACAATAAGTCGTTTCCCTCAAACATTTCCTACAAATCCTTCAAAACTTGGTAGGACCACAGAAACGTCGATGGTATAAACCAACATTTAGTTCAGCGTTCTTCAAAAGTTTCAGTCCATACAAATGTTAGTGCAATACACATCAATTTTATAAATACTCCGTCTAAGCATATAATGACGTCAATTCGTACAAAGAACTAATATTGTTGAATGATGTATCGGGGTGTTGGTTGTAGGAAAGTGATAAAAGATACCACGGAAATAAGTACTTCAAACATCCGATGACCTCTCTTCAAACATGACCTGACCTACATTCAGATTTGATCTACTAAGACGAGGAATGCAGTATCTCCTGTTGTCGTGGACTCATTGAGTCTAGAAGTCTGGAAGCGTATGCGGTACCCAAATGAAGTGGGCATCGCTTTGATTCGGGCGTTAGTTTGTTAGTATGTTAGTTTGTATGGAATCATACGCTTTGGTAGTTATTCAAAAATACTATGTCTTCCCGCTTGTGGTGCACCTGTTTAATGCCGCCAGCCTGCTGTTTTGCGCATGCTCTTTCGCATCGCCCTGTCACAAACTGCTTCATATAGTATGGAGATTAAAATCATATAAAATAAACCAAATTCCAAATAGATGCATCTTGCCGAAAATTCAAGATACGGATTTAAAATCTTGACAAAATTTTATATGGTGTACTTCACTTTATTTCGAAACCTTCTTCGGAAAGCTTTGAAATAAAGTGAAAATATCACCATATAAAACTTTGTTTTGTTTTTAATCCGTATCGCGGATCGTCAAGATGCATCTTTTTGGAATGTGTTTTATTTTATCTTTTTTTCAAATTATCGGCTAGATCTGGATTTTGGACTGTAATCATGTTATAGATGACTCCAGTCTGTCGTGATGATACCAGCTACTACTAAAAAGCGATACAGCGATACAACGATACAGCGATACAGGAACCGGAACCTGGAACCGGAACCTGGAACCGAGCATAATTTATGCAAATTAGAGCATCTTGCACCACAGGAGATATACATGATAATAATTTACAGGGGGGGGACGCAATTCAAAGATAGTACAATATATTACAAGTGAAGCATTTTGATTTTCTAAACGAAAAGAATGAACATCGTTGTAACACTATATTACAAAGTAAAACATGTTTCGTAATTGCGCGGCGATTCTTTTTGTCTGGTTTGATATAACTGCATGTGACACACTGGTTTATTTAGTTGCCGCACTTGAAATGCCAGCAGACAGAGAAAGAAACCAAGGCACGCAAAGCAGATTGCGCTTAATTCAACAGTAATTGTGCTCTAAAGTATATTTATTAGAGTGTACTCAGTGTATAGTGTAGTATGTGATGCAATCCTCTAAATGTGCTATATACGCTGCGAATATTGCGAATATACTGCATACTAAAAATATCCGCTTAAATATCAATTACAAATTATGAAGGTAACTTCAATATTATGTCAAAAATACATTTAATTAATAATGAAAAATTAAAATGTGTGATTGAAATTCAGCGTCGAAAACAAATAGGGATGTTAGGATGTACAATGCAACTTCAATGGACAATGCCGATAATAATAAATGTTGAATGGCCCCCATGGCCATGTCAAAGTTTAGTTGCTTTAACAGCTTCTATTTCAGATTTTACTTTAATGTCGGAAACGGTACTTGATATCTGATATATTTAAACCCAGATAATACAAAAATGTGACAAAAAGTTTATCCAGTTAGTTGTGAGTAGCCTGTTACATAAAGTGGTGTACACATTATACGTATTCAGTGTTGAAGGCATAACAACCATATAGAGTCTTTTTATTATATTTTGTTATACTTATTGCCTTCAGTTGGAAATTATATATATATAATCAGTTTTTGATGAATCATGTTCAGCAAGACTAAGAGATCATACGCAGAAGTAGCTAACGGAGTTGAAAGGTTATACTAAAACTAAAATGCGTCGGTATATAATTGTATAAATGAATATTTAGTTCATGTTTTTCCCTTCATAATTCACCCTTTGCGATGTTAATAGACCAGGAAAGGGGAAAACCTGACTCGACTCAGAGTTATAATTAGGGTGAGAGACACGGTAAGTTAATTTTGACGCTGAATTTCAATCAGACATTTCCATTTTTCATTAGTAAATGTAATAAATTAAAATTGATTAATTTAATTAAATGACATTGAAGTTACGACATGCAACTTCATTTATGTTTGTGATTGATGTTCCTGTGACGCAGGCTATAGATGTTCAAGCACTGAGATATTTTTAGTATGCAGCATATATTCGCAATATTGCAGCGTATATAGACATTCAATGTTGGATTGCATCATACACTACACTACACTCAAATTTAATACTTTAGAGCACAATTGCTGCTGAATTCAGCGCAATCTGCTTTGTGTGCCGTGGTTTCTTTCTTTCTTTGTCTGCTTGCATTTCATAGTCAAGTGCGGCGGCTAAATAAACTAAGTGCGTCACATGCAGTTCAGTATCATACCAGACAAAAAGAGTCGCCGCGCAATTACGAAACATGTTTTACTTTGTAATATAGTGTTACAACGATGTTCATTCCTTTTGTTTAGAAAATCAAAATGCTTCACTTGTAATATATTGTACTATCTTTGAATTGCGTCCCCCCCCCTGTAAATTATTATCATATATATCTGATGTGGTGCAAAATGCTCTAATTTGCATAAATTATGCACGGTTCCAGGTTCCGGTTCCAGGTTCCGGTTCCTGTATCGCTGTATCGTTGTATCGCTGTATCGCTTTTTAGTAGTCTATAGTCATTAGGTCAATTTATCTGAAGAGTGCCACATTTTGTGGTACGAAACTATTTAGTAATAAAAATGCCTAGTGGATTTTGTTGATTGTTGCACCTTAATTTATATATATATATATATATATATATATATATATATATATATATATATATATATATATATATATATATATATATATATATATATATATATATATATATATATATATATATATATATATATTTATTAAAGAATTAGTGTCAGGGTCATTACATGCATTGCGGGCTTTTGTTATTGTTTACATTTTACTCAAATACAACAAATAGCGATAAAAATACCTTGTTTGGTACATTTCTGATAAAAATCAGACAAAAAGAGCAAGGATTAGAAAAGGATGGTTTAAATATATGACGGATTGTAAAAACTTTCCAGATCATCTATTCTATTCGTCCCGAAAAATGGCCGCCAGCAGGAGTTTGAGCCCGCGAATTCCTGGTGTGCCACTAATCCTTTAAGTTAAGCAGGACTGTAGTATTTGGAAGCAGTGTGGGTAAATATCAAGATTCTGGGTATCCACACTCTATATAACCACTTGTATAGAAGGGCTTCATAGATTGGAGTTTCGAGTGTGAATTTTATACATTTATTAGAGCAGTTATGAACCCTTTGGTAGGAATCGAACTTGCAGCCCTCCGCCTGCGGTGCAACGCTCCGAACCAACTGAGCTACAGAGTCCAGCCGAGAATGTAATGAATACGCTCCTAGAATCGTCGAGTCATTAGAATCATATGTATTAGGATTTCCAAATTTGTACCTCAAGCTTAAGAGTGAGTCAAAACCCCCAATATTGGCTGATTTACTAGGCGCTCTGCAGCAACTTTATTTTTCAGCATACCCGCTGGATTTACGAAATAGTCCCTATTTCCTAAGCAACGAAATACTAGATTGAAGAATGAGGAATCAAGCGTCTAGAACTCCACGACTGTGCCTTTTCATAATTTTCAAGCTGAGAACAATGAGTTTAATTTAAACGTGATTTGTTTAAGATCCGCTTTCGAAATTGCGAAATAGATGTCGTGCATGCACCGAAACAACCAGAACATTTGGAACAGCCTTCGTGTGGCAAATCCGATCAGCTTCCATTGATGAAGATCTGCGCGACAATCAGGCTTACGGATCGAAATCATCGCAAGATAAAGAATGTTGAACAATGTTTACCACAAAAACAAATAATGAATATCAAATACCTTCGAATCCTCTCTGCTTTTCTTCATGGACATTGAACTGAGATCTTTACGTAGTTTTGTTTCGAATGGATTCAACAAGTGTGGGCACTCAGAACCATTTGTACAGAAGACACACATCCATGGCTCTTCAGGCTCTAACGCTTTGTCTTCAATGACAGGATTATGACATTTCTGATGATAGCCTAGTTTGTAAAACGATAAATTGTCAATATAGGCCATGAGTTATAAGGTATATATATAGTATTGTTCCTCGTTTTTCGTGGGAAAAAGAAAAAACAAAAGCGCACAATATTGATTCAGTAGTAGCATTGCCGGTGGCAAATGACCGGACAACTTATATATAAGAAAAGAAAATCAACTGCATCTTTGAAAGTTTGAATTGTAGTTATTTGTCAGCAAGTACAAGACTGCGACATACAATGAAAATAATTAACCGTTTCGTTGTTGCATGACCGTAGATAAGGCGAAACCTCACCTGATTTGTAGTTGGTCATGTTTTTAAATCTTTGTCTAGTGTGAAGTGTCACCGCACCTTTCATTATCGCAAAACGGAATGTTTTTTTACAGCTTTGCTCTGCAGAAGACTTGTTGGCACGCCTTTCACAATCTTAATACGACATATGGTTTCTATACTACTTTCAATTTTCACATAACAAAAGCATGACTATCATTCTTGGCGGTGAATTCCAGCTTAAACTGAACTGTTTTGTGTGGATCGGTATTGTTGTTGAAATGGAACTCGTTCGCCAGAATATTTATTTGGTTTAATTGCGTTTCATCGTCGTAAACGGTTCCAATCACTGCAAGAGCTTGTTCATTTGGGTTGATGGCAAGAGAGATTCACAAGTACAAAGCACGTTGCTGGACTAAGACTATTTTTTACTCCTACGCGCGTGACTTTCGCTGTGTGGACGATACGAGTGTCTCACATGTTAGATTAAGCCACGTTGACTTTTACATTCAATGTCCAATGAATTATTCATTAAATAGTTGCCGATAATGTTATTGCAAAACACTATTCTGTGCTAATTTGTAATCCTAACCAGGTGCATTAATTCATTTAGCCACGTTTATTAACATACACTTTTAATTATCATATTTAATGATGTTATCACAGAGTAAAATGCAGTAACAGCGACTGTTTCACAATGAATAAATAAACACGAAACTGGCAACTCTTTTAAAAGCTGAGGTCTTCATATAACCAACTGCATAATGGTATAAATGTAGTAAGGTGAAAAAATATTCTACCTGACTTCCTACAATCAATTATTTATTTTTATATATTTTCCATGTATCAATTAAATGTGGGTGTTGCAATTATTATAATTAAAGCCAGGAGATTAATTTTCCGCCCGCGAATGTTGCCTTTGACCCGACATCACACGAGTAAATTATTTTTTTTAGATAACATATAATTGTAGTTTTGAGGGTCAAAGTATAATACAACCTCGTCTGCAAGACTGCAACAGTGATTCAGCATCAATCGAAACCCAAATTAGCCCTTCCGAAGTTGATGAGTGGACTGGGGACGAATGTTAAAAAGTGCCCAAATTAAGAAATGAACCAAATCACTAAAACAACCGCCTCGAAATTAGTAAGTATACAGAGTTTGAAGACATCTACATGGATACCCTTCGAATAATAAGCTTTCGAAAATCGCGATATTTACTATGAAATGTATTGTTAATTTTTGTTTTTGGGGACGCGCATCCCAAAAACAATCTTTTAATCAGTAATTTCACAATTTTCGAAAGCGTATTATTCGAAGGGGATTCATGTAAACGTCTTCAAACTTTGTATACTTGCTAATTTTGAGGTGGTCTTTTTAGTGATTTGGTTCATTTCTTAATTTGGACATTTTTTAACACTCGTCCCCAGTCCGCTTATCAACTTCGGAATGGCTAATCCCACCGTCAAAGGTGAACGACACACACCAGAATCACACCCACTATGTTTCGCTTTGACTCCCTTTGAGCTTTTCGACAAAAAATTTAAAAAGTTTATACAGTCTTCACATAAGCCTCAAATGTGTGGAAAACCTGTTAGACTGAATGTTGACATTTGAACGAACAACCATGTCTCTCAATTCTGTTTTATTTTTCTCCAAATAATATACATGAAAAAATTTCTCAATTTCGATTGGCTCAGAGCAGTGCATCTTTTTCGAAATAGAGTGCCAAAAAATGTAATACAGTGCCAAAAAAGAAATACAGTGCCAATTTCTTAATTTTCCTAATTTATAATTTTTTCATGTGTATACTAATTAACCCATTAAGCGCCAGCGCTCTCCCCTTGACGAGTAAAATCGTCTGGCGTTAGACAGAGTAAAATACTAAAGTAGCTAGGGTGCATCAGAGTGCAATGCGACTCAATGGGTTAACTAGACACATGGGCAGATAGGCCAGTTAACCCATTAAGCGCCAGCGCTCTCCCCTTGACGAGTAAAATCGTCTGGCGTTAGACCGGCAGAGTAAAATACTAAAGTAGGATGCATCAGGGTGCAATGCGACTCAATGGGTTAATAAGTAATAGCTAGTATGGTTTCTCGTGCAATTTGAAAAAACATACACTATTGAGTTTTTCAAAGACTTCAAATTACACTCGTCCTTTCAGGACTAGTGCAATTTTTATAGTCTTTGAAAAACTCACTCGTGCGTGTTATTTTTTCCAAATTGCACTCGAAGGCATACTATTACCTATATACAAATACAAGGAAACTTATATTTCTGATATTTGACTATACCATCTGTTGCACGATAGTGCTACACTGATCTTGGACATATAACTGGTTGAAACTATTTTCCCCCTACAGAAAATTCGCATATTTTTTTAAACCCCCGCTCCCCCAACTCAATGTTGAGCTTGTGTTATGGTATATTACCAAAAGTTGTTTCGGCGTTGTTTACAACATTGAACTTGGGGGGGGGGGGGAGGGGGAGACAAAGCTTGTGTTGTCAATGTTGAATAACTTTATAATATTGGCTGGAATTATCTCAAGGGTTTTGTCCAAGATTGTTGCTATATAGTGAAACCCAGATATTTAATTCTTTTCACAGAAATGTTATAAAAAAACTCACAGAAGTGTTATCAAGCCCCGACCCTAGCCCCAAACGCGCCAATCTCAGCTGGAGATGTGTTGGCGTTTCGGTTTAGTTAGAAAGCTAACCCCCCCCCCCTCCTCCTCGGGTGCCTCTGCTTTATAACCCCGGGTTCCATATGTCACCCACTTCTTTGCCATAATTACTAGCCGGGCATATGTAAATAGCATATATTGTCGTAATATATTGCAAATATTGTACAGTGCATGGATTATGTTATCAGACTTATATTACAGCAGTATTCTACTCCGTATTAAAACAATATCCCCTAAAACAATACTCCCCAGAAATTGCTTAGAATAATGTACAAAAAGATAGTTGTAGCTTTGCTTTATATGAACGCATTAAGCTAAGACGCTGAAACGAAGCGAAATAACAAAATACGTTGACTATCATAAAGTACTCGAAGTTTGAACTAGATTTAAGATTCAGATACGTACAAAATACTTGCCTGTTAGTTTCCAGACACAATAATGCCAAGGTAAAGTTATAATTTTTCCCTGCGGTGTTGAGCTTATAACAGTAATGTTTATAACAAACGAAGCTCTGCGTGTATGCCGTAAAAGCTCTTACCGCGGTTGTCAACTCGCAGTTACACCTGTTCGTCGCTAATATAAGCGTCGACGAGCTATCACTCTTGTTATTAATTACATCAACTTGTTTTCACACCGCTTATAACATAAGCTACTTCGAACGATTCCCACTTCTCGTCGAAATGCAGGCGTCTCTATATTTGCAAGCTTTTTGCGCAAACCTTTTCCAGTTTTAAAGGCGTTATTTCAGCTCGCGTCGGTACGATGCTAAATTTACGTAAACGTTTGTTTGTGCATCAAGAACAGCTGAAACGCGAAACGATGTCATCTCTATCAATATTAATGATGGTCGCGCTAAGTAAACACTGTTGAATAGTGTAAATAATTACTTTTCGAACGCAAAGTAATTTTGCATCGCGCGCTATGTTAAACTACAACTTTTGATGGATTATATTGGGCGTGATTGTATCAAACCGAAGCTAGTAGGTTCGAAATGGATTCGGGATAAATTCGGAATCCTGATATGCAAATCAATCGCCCTGAGCACATGAGTATATCCGCGTGTTTTACGCGGTTTTATCCCTTGCATGAACGCCAAAGCAATGTCAGTATGCTTCCAAATTCCGCTCGGTGATAACGCAGCATCACGTCTTGTTCTAAGATAAGTTTATCTGCTAGATACTATAAAAGAGTGGATATAAATTTTCCGCTAATGAGAAGTCTAGAATAATAAATTGTTTTTATTTTCCTCATTGAAATATGTAAGGCGGTGCTTTTATCTATAGTCAATTTAGTTGAATATCAGAAAAGCTCTTAGTGCTTGTCTCTTAAAATATTTAATTGCTTTTTGCGGGTTCTTACAATTACCTGTAACCAAACAAAAATGCGACCTGCAGTTTTAATATTCGTATACAAAACTTTGTAGTGTTGCTGTACACGCTTTGTATTAGAGTTTATAAGTTCTTTCCTAGTTTAGCCTTTTATATACCGGCCAATAAAATCGTCTGGCGTTTGACAGAGTAAACAGTGAGTATATATATATATGACAACTGCGTGTCTTTGCTGTATAAGTTCACACGCATATGTAAATTAACATCGTGCAGGTGCTCGTATTAGACGGAGTAAATTACTTTCCATAATGTTTTTCATTGCTGGCTTTGTCTTATGGGATTGTGGGATGTCCGAAGTACGAGGGGGTGGGGGACAACTGTGCCCTTGCCCTTTTACTGGGCGGGACAAGGAGAGTGTGAATTCAAAGAACTATTCTCTGTTACTTCGCCAAGTATTTTCGTGGTATAGTTGTAGAACCTGTAGTTCTAAGTCAGAAAAGTATCTTCATTTAATTTAAAGCATGGTCAAATAAAGTTTGTATCATGTCACTTCGTTTAATCAAGAATTGTGGGAAATGCGTGGAATTAATGTCGCATCTATCTTGGAGAGATCCAGATAAAACAAATAGTCGGGTAAGAACAGTGATGACTTAAAATGATCTTATTAAAAACTACGAATGCCTGATCTGGAAGCTAGATATACATTAGATCTATAAATAAGGTATAGATACGGTATCTACATCGTAAAAACCATATTTCCTTAATGAGATTGATCTACTTTGACAAAATTCATGATTTTTGCCCCAGGCGCTGGCCAGGAAGCCAGTAAGTTGTTTCTTGTCTGAAAAACTATAACTAAGAGTGTACCGCACTTGCGGGCCCATATATATTAAAACTATAGATAAAGATATCATTGTTTTTGGAAAATCGTCATAGAAAATGATGTTATATATGTATTCCATATTCCATTTGGCTTTGGCTATGAAATTGTAATCAAGCATTCAAAAATATTTCCGGGGGTTCTATATTACTAGAACCATGCCCCTCGCGCGTTCCCCTCACGTGTACTCCTCGAGCGTCCCACGCGTGTTCCACGCGCGTCCCCCACGCAAAGGTGCAAAATATTATTTCGACTAGTTAGTTTTTTGCTAATTCTTTGTTTCTTATGGCCACGACGTCGAGTCCTCATTTAATACGCCAAAGCCGGGATTTAGTAACCGCCGATAAAAGCCCATGTGATATACATTGATATACATATATAATAACCCACATCACGTAGGGAGCCGGTCAATAATGATGATAATAACGCTTTACTATTTGAAAAGACGTAATTTAATTGTTTCATGTCTATATGACATGCAAGATGGTCAGATGCCACTGACGTAGTTTGCAAGCTGGTGATAAGCTGTTTCGAACTGAACTACACGTTTTGCTTAGACTTTGACCATTTTTTTTCCTTCTAATCTAAGATTTTATCGCGTTTAGTCAATACACAAAATAATATATTGAACCAATTCATTTTCCGATGCCGCCTGCAAAGCTAGAACTCGTATAAGGCTTTTATTTAAGGCCTCTATATAGGTTGTAATTATAAACTAATTAATAATACAATACGACGGGCAGTTTGAGACTGTTCTGGAAAGAGAAAGCTGTGACAAATGTAGCAAAACGCTGGTTGTATCGACAATATTCAATTCGCCTGACATGAAATAGAATCTTAAGAAGAAGAATGTGAAATATATATTATGAATGATGGAGAGACCCAACTATAATGTAGCCTGTTCTTGCATAATATAACATCTTCTATAGACTATCATCGTTGTCAGTGCATGAGTATTCTACCAATTTGCCAAGGGAAGGTCCCTTATGACTGTCCACGCCAGAAAAGGCGATCTTCGACCTGGCGCTTCGTTTCCAATATATCTTCCCATCCTTGATCTCCTCCTATATATCTCCCTTTTTAGTCGAGTTTTCCGAGTTTGACTCGACTTTGTCTACCTACATACATGCACTGGATTTAATCCTAAGCTACGTTTTAAACCTGATTCACGCTAGCAATTTTGCCTGCGAGCCTTCTTCGCCAGGCGATGTAATTGAATGGGTGACATGCAACAAGATTTAGGAATGTATCCTTCCAAATAACGGTTCTTTGTTTTGTCGGCGAGTTCACTTATTCGCAACCAGAAACTCGCCTAAAAATTCGCCAGTGTCAACTAGATTTTAAGCGCTTTAAGCTACACAATTTAGAGACGGAGCCGCTTTGGAGAAAATGTAAAGTAGTATTAATCATGCATGATATAATGTTTCAACACTATATACATAAAGCTTTTCAGTACCAAGCATCCTACCTTTAACTTCATTTATTCATTATTCTGAGAGCGAAAGCACTTTGCAGGTTTAACATGGATATATTCTGCATGTTTCAACGACACTAGTATAGATTACTTATGATTAGTTGTGTCTATCGTCAGCAAACTTGAATAACTTTCCCGTACCAGCTGGTTAAACACGTTACACATACTACTTTTCTAGCCCCAGTTTTTCGCAACGAAAATACACTGAAGTTCACTGTGTATATATTATTATATCTCGGCCACAGGGCAGCGGATGGTGCAGATCAACCATTTCAGAAATATATCTCTTGGCTTGTGGAAACTCCACGTATATATATTTATCGGCTTTGCAAAGCTTTCGATCCGTAATCCCGGGTCTTTATCACAAGATCTATTATTAGCGCTGATGAAGATCTGCGCTTACGAATAGAAAGCTTTGCAATGATGAACGTACGTGGTGTTTTCACAAGAGATATAGCCTAGTGTTTTATCGCCATGCAAAGTTTCAAGGGAAGTATATTGACCGATGATCATATTGCCTGATAGAAGCAAGAACTTTAAACTAGTGCTCTCAATTTTATTTATTCATTATCGCTACCAAATAAAGAAGGCTTCTAAAATGAAAAGAATGAACATCGTTTTTTAATTCTGATAACTACAGGTAGACAACCATCTGTTGCAAGATAGTACTTCGTGCATGCTCATGAACACGTCTTAGGAAAGCTCTAATATACATCTTAAACTTAAATGCAATATCAATAATCCTGTATGGTTATTAATTTTATAAGTTTTTACTTTGACGTGCAGTATTTGTAAGACTTATCTTAGATTTTCGGAAAGATTGGAATTTTTTTGAGAAATATACGAGCACTCAAATGTGACAAATGAGTCTTAATGAAGTATTATATATATTGTGGCCTCTTCAAAGTTTTGCATGAAGACAAATATCAATTGAAAGTTTTTACATTAAGTTTGCTCTCTTAGACTTTGTCTTAGCAACTGAACAACTTCCCAAACAAAAGTTAATTTAAATTTTGACAGCTTTGTACAGCTTTGCCGAGAAGACATCTCATAACTCGAGTCATGGAAACACGTTCATGCATTGATGAAAATTTCGAAGTTCCACGCTTTATTTATTAAATATGCAACAAATTCCGATAATATATCATAATATCAAACTAGATTCTATAGATTCACACGCGTCTCTCACTGGAGCCGGTATTTATATAGCAGGCCGATATGCAGACACATATGCATATGGCAAGCTGAATGTATTATCATTGTTTTACGATATGTAAATATAACAATGTATTTTAAAACATGTCTTGCATCTGTCGTAGTCAGGCAGGTGGCTGCACTTAACTGCTTGAATAAACATTACAACTTTTCATTAGTCGCAGCTTGATCGCTGGTGTGAGATATTGACGTAGAGATATAGCTTTTCTAAGAGGTCGCGCGCGCAATTCAAGAACTATACTATACTTAACGTTTTAAGACCAGCTTATGAAAAATTTCTCCACACTTCCCTTTGTTCCTATTTCCCGTTACACCCAGAGGCCAATGGGGGGGGGGGGGGGGGGGGGAGATCGATTGACGTAGACATTTAACATTCTGAAAGAAACGGTTTCGAGTAAAGAAGTTTCCTCATTGCCCCATCCCCCTTAATTCCGCGTCGCCGCGAGTCGAGACAATATAGCGTTCGTAAGAGGCCGCTTCCTCGTTCGTTTGAGAAGAATTTACTATATTTGACTGAATGACTTCCCTTACGTGCTGTTGCCCCCGCAGCCTGGCGGCTTGAGGGAGGCTAGTATGTATAATAGCATATGTCGTTTCAGTGCGTTTCATCCTGGAAGAATTTACCTTCTCTTTGCTAAAGGGAATTTGTCCCCGTTGCGCATTTAAAGATTTGTCCTAAAATCGTATCATAAAACGCGATCCTGGTTCAGTTCTAACTTCCAACACACAAATTGCAAACACGCCTTTGCCTTTGGTCAGAAAGCTATAACACACATAATTATGTTCAACTTCTCATTTTCGACACAAAAGTTAGGGGTTGTTTATATGAGCCGGGATGGCCCGTCTATTAAACCGGACTGACTCGTTTCCGTTTCAAGAATTGTGGAAAATAATGTTGAAACAAATGGTCGGTTTAGGTTGGCTGCAAACTTTCCTTGAGGTCAATTCAAGTCGTCTGTGGCAGCCAAGGAAAAATTTTCGTTACACGAATCAGCGTGGCACATATAAACAGCCCCTAAGTGTGTAATAAGGTCGGTGCTTCCTTCCCCAAGGGCCTTCCCGTCCTCCCTGAATATAGTTTTTATATCACTTACCCACGCCGCATTTATCACAGAGGACAATTTCATTTGGTCTTGTGCTTGCGCCATCTTTACACACAATACAAACTATTTCTGCTGTCGTTTCCGTCACTAGAAATGAAAGAAAGGCAATTTTAGTCAACTGACTATCTTAAAAACTATCCGACCACTGACTGTAACTTCTCGGTCTCCCCGGGAACTTAAAAACTATCTGTCATTTCAAGCACGTTCGGGAGCTGACAGAATGAGGGGGCCTTATTTTTTTTTTATTTAGCCAAAACACGGTATATTTTACCTCTCTTCTTCATTGTATTATTATTATGGCGGATGGCAAAACAACAAGATGGCGATATGAAGTTCACAAGACAATTAATAAAGCTCTCAACATGCAAACGCGTGTTTATTAAGAAAGAAAGAAAGGAAGGAAGTTTCGTCTGATCCCAAAACACACAAATATATCTTCGCTTGTAATCTAATTTTATTTTCAGACGCCCTGTTTCATCATTTTCACAAACATCCTTAATTTTTTAACACAAACAAATTACACCACGGCATCTTAATGAACTTTCAAGTGCGCCCGAACAACGCCAATATTGATGAAGTGGGCCCTCTTGGAATGATTGACAAGCACAATTTCACTAAAGTCTCTCTCGAGTCACGTTTCCATGGCTCGAAAAAGATAGAACCATCAGGAAACACAACTTTGAACAAGGAAAATGTGTTCCGAGTTTGCCGAACGTGACACCGGAACAAAATAATATCCATCCTCTTTCCAAATTGCGTTTGGCACCCACTATTTTAAAAGCCTAGTTTACAGTTTACACTATCAAAGTTTCTGTGATCACAGTAGGAATTTTTCATCTGTAAATTCTGAAGTTTTGAAGGATTTGTAAGAAATGTTTGAGGGAACTGCAAGCTGACTCAGTGTTTAACATTAAGTCAGTTCCCCCAAACCATTTCTTACAAATCCTTAGCTTCAAAACTTAGAATTTACCTATATTCAAATTCCTACTGTGATCACAGAAACTTTGATAGTGTAAACAGGCTTAATGTTCCTAGTACGGGGATAATATACATGCTGCTGCTTAGCTGTGTTAAATTGACTGAATCAGTTTAAGAACCGGTAGTTTCTAGCTCTTGCCGAACGATTTTCGACTTTAACAGTAGAGGGCGGAACGTGTTAACATCAATTCTAATATATAGTTAATCTGGTAATGATCTGTCAACATAAAGGCTTATGACGTATTTCTGATAATTCCTAGAAGTTCTTAGGCTACGTTTCCACTGAACCGGGATAGCTTTCCGTATCGACGTGAAAAAACACCTGCCCGTACCTTTGAGGAACGCTATTTTCGGAGGAATTATTGCTACGGATCGAGATGTTGTTTCGCTCAGTTTCTGAAAGTTGTACATTCCGTATCGGATAGATGCTTTTTCGCGCCGCTACGGAATGACTATCCGGTATAGTGGAAACGTAGCCTTAGTCGTGGTATATATCAGGATGAGCAGGGGGAAGAGAGATAAATAGGGATGATAGGGGAGAGCGGGAGTACAAGGTGGTTTCTCGTCACTCCCTGCGTTGTAAATTGACATGTCTGCCACATTTTGCACGAACAAGTCTCGTGAGGAAGGTGACGTGTTTCAATGAAAAGTAAAATCACCTATAGGGTTGCAAAGAGGAAAAAAGCGAAGAGGAATAAAGCTCTTAACATTCAGCCCTCATCGTCACAACACACAGCGGGAGTGCGTGGGTGTATGGGTGGGCCTCACAAACAATGCTGATCAATTTGCAGTTATCTCCTTGCCAACCTTACCATCGAATCCCACAAGTTATCGACATTCCTTAATGCCCTTGCTGCAAGCGTAGCACATATTTTATGTTCAGATGATAATGAAAAGAAACGCTAGAAATCTATTCAACCAACATTCCTGGAGTTAACCAGAATCCATATCAGGCCTTGTAAGGCTTACCGAAAGCCACAAATACCGCTTTCCTGGAAAAGGGCCCTTGCTGGAAGCACAACAAGTACAGATTATATTCAGACGATAATGAAAAGAAAACGCTAGAAATATATTCAACCAACATTCCTGGAGTTGACCAGAATGCATATGATGCCTTGTAAGGCTTACCGAAAGCCACCAAATTACTAAATTTCCTGGAAAAGGGCGCTTGCTGTATAAGCACAACAAGTACAGATTATTTTGTGAAAAGGCTCGTGAAATAGTGAAGACGCTAGAAATATGTTCAACCAACATTCCTGTAGTTAACCACCGCAATGCATACGGTGCCTTGTTACTGTTATATTGAAACCATGAATTCTGAAATTGACCACCGCCCATCAATAAGAACGTATTAGATTTACAAAAGACAAAAAAGTGATATAACCATGTCGACCATCATCTGCTATACTGAAACACGCCGACCATACCAAAGACCACTCGACAATAAAGGGCCTTTACTGCACCCTCTCACGACAATACAATAGAGAGCGAGAAAGCAGTATAAAAAAATTCTACCAACCGCTGTGAATCTTTGTAAAGGGACAATGGTCAATGGAATCGTCGTCAAAGAGCAGGGTACACGTGCGTGCCAGGTGATCAATATGTAGGATTTTTGCATAGAATAGTTTATCGCTCCATTCGGCCAAGACCACGTCGCCGAGCTGAAAGTGAAATCCTTTATCCATGGTTTGAATTTTGGAACTGTTACATTTCGCTTGGGAATGATCGATAACCGTTTTCTACTGCTGTCTATGCCTGCCACTGACCGGCAGTAATTTTATGATTCCCTTCAACTTCCCACAAACTGCAACAGTGAAATGCTTCTTCTCTGGTGGAATATGGTTTTGTCCTGTGGCTCGCTTCAACTCTGAACAAAGTATTCCGAAAATCCTCCTTTTTGAAGCGAATTTAACGTCAAACTTTCAATCGTCTATGACGTCCGTAATAATACAGATTTATATCATGGAATTGTCATCAAATTCCACGGAATACAACGAACGTAATGGACTTATCCTGTATTCTTCTAAGTATCTTGTGTGGGATTATAGCTTGATATCCTGTTGTTCACAAACTTTATAATGTTAGTTTAATACTTCTAGTTTTCTTGAGGCAAATTGAACACTGAAATCTCATCCGTTTCCAACAGTAGTGAATTAAATTCTTCTTTATTTGAAGATTCTTCAACGCTGAAGTGCTGTAATGATATACTCGATTCTGCTAGCGAACGAACTAAAGAACCTTTTATACTCTGAAGTTTTTTGTACGATTCGCTCAAAATGAAGGAGAGAAATACTTCTTTGTGTGTGAAGCAGCTGGAATTTAAAACTTTCTTTCCTTATCTTGTTGAAGAATACGCCTTTTATATGCTGAAGTTTTGTACAATTTGTACAAAATATAGCGTAGTGCTTCCTTATTTCTCGTTAGCTAAGGATACAGCTTTTATATACGTCGAAGATTTTGTACAATTTTCACCCTGGAAATGGCAGTGAAATGTACCGTGCTTCTTTGCTGTTTCTTCTTTACAGTTTTCTACAATTCCCACAGAAATACAATGTAATGTTTCTTTGTCTTGAGTATTGTGACGTTTCCACGACTTTACTAAAATATTGTAATGAAACACTCCTCTGCTCTGAAGTACTCTTGTTACTAACGAGCCACTTTTCTGCAGTAAAATTATCATACACCTTCACTAACTTCCGTTTCAAAACTATATCATCTCTCGTGCGATAGAAATTAATCCGGACAGATTTGAGATACAACACAGCAGTACTCGTTAAATCCCAACAAAACACAATCTTTGTCTTGAGGCAAATGTTCGGAACACTTCCCGTAATATATAATTCACATAAACTCTTTTTACTTCTTGTATATAGTGTATATAGTCAAAATGATTGTCAAAATTCTTAATCTTCACTGGAACAATAACAACTTGTATACAGATTCTTCACTTGTTCATAGTATTGTCCCATTCACTATAAATATATCAAAATACTCGAAGATAAATATATAATCTTTATTCTGTACTCGGTAATTTAAAGTGATAGGCGATATGATATTGCATTGCCAGTCAAAAATCCGTCTTTAGAGTATAATGTCCACACTGCTACACGACTACACGTAACGGAATCGAAAATGTTCTATCGATAATCCTTTACGAAAGTAAACTCCAGTGCGTATCAGGATTGCTGCTTCGATGTGGTTTCGATAGCTGTATTGTTGATAGATTCTCTCGATTTCTTCCGTTTAAAGCCAAGAGTAGAGTTAAAGTTCCTTAGCGGAAACCAATTTGATAGGAATCTAGTCCTCAAATCCAGCTTTTATATAAAACTCCGCTTTGAGTCGTATTGTTGGGCAAAAGATCAACAAGATTCCCAAACAAAATAATATATTTAGTATATATAAATAACAGTTGCTGCTCTTCCCAATATATAACCTCGTTCGCTTCCGTGCCAAGGCTTTTAAGGTCGAGCCAAATTCAATAAAAAAGACAACGGATTATACTCCAATATCGTACGAATTCGTAGCAGATTCCTTATTCAACATCAATGAAAGCCAGTAATCTGCAGACGTTACGTAAAAGCAACAATGACGTGTACTGGCGGACTTACGAACCGTCGCCCCACGCTTTGTTCTCGAAAGCTGATTATACAATTCCTCCCATCTGTTTCTGAAGGATATAGACTTCCTATTTCAAGTCGCAGTATATATGTGCGCTGAAAATTATAACTTGAAATTAATTTCGACCACAATAAAGTATAGTTTGCATGAATGTAGCCACCGCGCAAGAGATACAAAGAAAATGCGACAGCCTGTGTACTTTCTGACACAACTACCAGTTTGTAATTATTGCGAGTTTTTTTCATCAAGCCCCTCGAGCCGTTATCGACGTTATTGTTATGCTAAATGCATACACCTGTAGACAACCAGTCCCTACAAGTAATTTGCTTGTACGATCTTACAGCGCTTTTAATTTGACAGTCGCATGCATGCTTACCTGAACAATATGTTATACATGTGCGATATTAACAGTTTCTTCTATTTCACAAAATTGTTGTATATTTTATGAGCAACGCAGTATATGTTAGAGCATGTTTCTGATCACACTTTTTTTGTGTAATCCCGCGCGAGTGTACGTGCTTTATGTTATATACCACATAGTTTTTATCAGTTTAGCAATATAATAGGATTTTTCAAGCATAAAAACGTGACAATTATATTCTTTCAGGTTTTGCTTATCATTTTGGTACTCGCATCTTCTTCGCACCACAGCTATTTAACAATCGTATACATTTCATTTATATATGTTACATTTATATATGTTACATAAAGACTAAGAACTTTTAATATAAATATAAAATATTTCTAATCATGAGTTTTTTGCTTCAAACACACATCACACATGCATGTGGGTTGGTTGTGGGCCTACTTTTCCAACTTCTGGTAATGTTGCGGATCAGTATATCAGCAGTATTTTTCTGGAGTTTTTATGTGGTAGAAATTACTATATAGTACCATTTTGCGATTTTTATATCTGACAATATCATTACGACTTTAAGGTACAGTTTGTTTAGTTTATAGATGCACATTTTTCAAATAACTTTTTTCTTTAATTCATGTGGGCGTTTAGATTGGGACGCAATTTTTATCAGGAGTTTCTGATTACAATAGTAGAATTCGATAATTGTGTATGATAACAGATGTGTCTTTATACGCGACAAATCATTTCTAGAATCAACAGTGAGGAATGTGGAACGTGTCCTTATCTATCTACGCCGTCCGACGCACTCACGTTTTTTCAAAAGTTTAATTTAGTAGTTTTATTTTTAGATTATCAAATATATATATATATATGCAGACGTACAAAGTTGTACAATGATAAGCTCAAGTTTTTTTTTGTACAAGATTATATCTTTCCTCAAAGCTCAGTCAGTCTCAATGGGAGTATATAGGAGTACAAAATATACATACTTGCAGAGTCATATCTATATCAAACTCATATCCATGTCAAAATGTTTTTTCAAAAGTGTTTTACCCAGTATAAAACTTGAAAGGATCACATGGCTCCTATTTCTATACTAATTGTGAAAATGGATCAATATAAGTAAATCTTGCCAGTGTCTAGGTATGTCTATTAACTGTGGTACTGATGATACACTTCTGACTTTTGAAAAATACAATGAGAACTTCGACGTTTTCGAGCGAGGATTTCATGCTCGTTGAAATTCTCGCCGTTCTATTTTTCAGTTTGAACTTGTGTTCCTATCAATCCGAAACTTTCTCCGATAACTATGACTGATATAGAATGAAAATAATGTAGGTATATATATACAATGGGATTGAGTGTTGTGAATATGATTGACATTTAATGAAACAGTATGCTTTTCACTATATTTCAAAACTCGCTTCATTACGTTTGAAGACACCCACTGATAAGTCTCAGACAGAACCTGTAGATAGCGTCTGCTACAAGAAAGAGCATATAATTACAGGCGAGTGATTAATGAAATGCCCTAATTTACAAAGAGCAAACCTTTATCTTAATTCCGCATTTCCAACCCCCTAATCCTTATAAGCTCAATATTCACCTTTTGAAAGTTTTATCCCAATGTTCAGTAAATTTTACATATATTGATATATATGTAAATGTTATACAAAGGTGAAGTAAGTCAACATTGACTTGGATTAGGCTTAGAAATGGTTTAAGATGAAAGAATTTGCTCCTTATAAATATGACATCAATTTTATAACTGCATTAACAGTTTTCACTACTTTTATACGTAGAAACATAAAATGCGTTTAGCGCGTATTGTATTAAGCTAAAACAAAGTAGTTAGGGGGAGTAGCTATCGAACGCTTTTCATCACAAAAAGATGACATGAAAAAAAATGCCTCTTAATCCTATAAATCTTAATCCTTCCTCATATACCAGCAATCTCACAAGTATTATGTATTGTGACGTCAATCGGGCGCAGTCATATACAATGTCGGCGATTACTACTTAATTCACTCTTATATATCCACGTCACATAGTGCCTTCTTTGTGACTTTGAAATACCATACCATCATTCAATGATATCGCGAAAATGGTTATGTACGTCATCAAAAAGCTCGTTATGTTTCACGCACGAATTTATAATTTCTAAAAGAGAAGAGCTGCATTGTTTTCGGGTATTCTAAAACTATTACGCGGCGCAGTGTATAGTTACCTATATGCGCAAATTAAACTTTGGCTGTATTTGCACTCTGAAACAGATGAACAAATACACGAAAATCCGCTATTTGACAGGTAACGAGCCGGTCGGAACACTACATGACCTCTTTTTGAAGCAGTATTCTTCCCATTCTAGAAAGAGGCTTGCGCGGTCTCTCACCGCAACTTAAACGGGAATTAAAATAAACTAAGATTGCCCATAAGCAGGTGTAGTTTGCCGTGTAAAGATAGTAGACGTGGGAACGCGCCATATGTTAGATTGATTTGGTGTTATATCCTCGTTGTCCTGCGCCCACTCAGCCCACACAGCGAAATCCATTGTAAGATTTTTCAATAAAAATGATGTGTACACTAGATGTAATTAATTAAACTTTTCAGCTGTTCAAATGTGTGTGTATACGATGGGAAAATGCACCTGTCTATGACCGAGTGCTCGTTTAATTTGCTTCCTGTTATATTTCATGTTTCATTTCAAAAAGTGATATATGCCGAAATAATTTTTTGAAAAATTTGAGTAAATAACATGTTCACGCAACAACCAACATACGTGGCATATCGGCATGCTTCTTCTTTGAATGTATATATAGAAACACGGCTTAATGCGGGGATTTTTGCAGATTATTTATGATATATAAATCTATTTGAGGGAATACAGTGAAGAATATGACACGTCGGTTATATTTCTATCCTGTCCTATACGGCTGAGGTACAGATTGGCTTTTGTTAACTAGAAGAAAATTTAATTTCTGCATGCTTAAACGTACAAGATACAGGTATTATCAAAACATGAAATTTCACTTGCTAGTTCAATTATGCAGTTTTAATAATACGTTAATAATGCAGTTTTTGCAGCGCTTTTAACGACGACAAACAATCTTTTTTGGAATGACAAAAATAATTTTGAATTGTACGCAATACTGCTCTTGTGTAATGTATAGTCAAAGTTTTCATTTTTTTCAAAAACGTTTTTATCTCAATCAATTTACCCAATATACCCTCGAGCGAGTCAAATATCATTTTAATATTGCCCTTCGACATTTTCCATTAAAAATATTGTTTTCAAAGGTGTAAAATAGTTAAATGCGGCTTAATTCACGTCTTCTGACACTTTCAAAATGCATCGCTTTTCCCATTATCAGCAAAAATTACCGCGGCTTATTAATTTTCAATTTGCGCGTTCACTATATAGCAGCTGCAAAAATTCACAATAATTTTTGTAATGAAATTCACAAACCTAAAACTGCTCGTATTTTTGCCGAAAATTGGATATAATAGCTGTTTCGACTGTTAGAATTCCCAAAAAATATATATAATAAAACTACATGCGTTTCAGTGAAAGGTTAATTGGTTTTACTGAAAAGTGTTTTCAATCTTCGGCTTGAGTTCTAGCGATTATTATATAGTTATCAATATGTCTCTCTATTTTGCGGTCTAGACGGAGTAAACTGAACAGTTATATCATAGTCAGTCTTACACAAACGGTTTAAAGCCTTGGACCAGCTTGGTCAAACGATCAGTTGAGGCCATGCGATACAGCGAGGATTAATTTAGGGTCGATGATAATAATTGACAAGCGCGGAGAGTTTGCATGAGAGTTTTCTCAACGTTCATGCCCCGTCAAACGCGAGCGAGATGCAACTCTCATCAAGTATCATTTGACTAAGTCCAAGGCTTAAAACACGTATATTATTTTCTTTTCATGCTCAGCGAGTCGCGCCTTTAACGTTATTTAATTCAATTCTTTGCAATGTTGATTTATCGCACACATTTTTCATTATGCAGAATTGTTGTATTGACACAGCTGCCTCGCACGACTTAAATATCTTTGTTAAACTTTGCAAATTATACTTCGTGCTTAACAACGCCGTCAACATAGCTTTAAATATTTCATTTCACCGCCTCATGCGCAGCCATCCTGCGGGATACCTGTGGCAGCGTGATGATCTAGAAAAGACGACGACGCGCTCTCAGTAGACAATTCCCATTACAGACTAATTTTAAAACTAGACAAAGAGATGCAAATAAATCACCACAGCTAGAAAGAGCATACTAAAATGAGTAAAATTGCAAAGTTTGGTTGCGAAATGTTGTAAAATGCGGAAGATATAGCCTTGCAAAGTGTAGTGCAAATTTTGTATACTTTTGTATTGCGCGCGGAAATTGCTACCATTAAGGCCGTTTTCCACCAGGCGGAATTTTGCGCGCGGAGCGGAATTTTTCTTTGTCTTGTGATTTCTCGGGTGGAACTAATTAGAAAAGACAAAGAAAAATTCCGCTCCGCGCGCAAAATTCCGCCTAGTGGAAAACGGCCTTTATAGTCGGTCCAAATGTGGTCGCAATTTCCGTACGCAATACAAAAGTATACAAAATTTGCAAACTTCGTTTCGAAGTCGTTAGTTCCACACTACCGCTCAGGAAACAAAGAAATACGCTACGTTTCGGTACGATACTTCACGATTGAAGTGGCTTAAAGTTAATTGTGAGTTATGCAGAACAGTGCAAAGAATTTCTGAAAAGCAGAATGCTGTGTTGGAAAACAATTAATGATTGACTGATTCAGTCGATGCATGCAGTGGGATTTTCGGAACAATAAAAAGACAACGGAGTCCTGGTAAAGCTAAGGTGAAAAATATAATCCTGCTTTGTTTTGGGACAGTCGAGATAAAACTTTCTTTTGCACTTGCCTAATAATGCTGATATGCTTGCATGTGAACAATTAGTTTATAATTCGACCTAATTATAAGTCGTAACCAATTATATATCTGGCCGGGGGGACAACTGCACAAGGCGTTAATTAAACCAAGAGGTATGCAAGAATGCCTATAGTCTTCAACAAACAACTGTTTTGTATGGTGAACAGTTTGAAATTGCTAAAATGACGCGCTTTAGCAGTGGTGTTTCTAGTGGTTTATTCGATTAAGAAGACCATTTATACTTTACTTTGGACTAAACTATATAACCTTATATAGAGGGAGTCTGGAGGGAAAATGTTTCTTGGGAAGGTGACTTAGGTGAGTTGATGCAAAGCCAGGACAAACGAGAACGTGAGTGCATGAGAGTTGGCATGACTCACGCGACCTTAGTTTGCTGTTCTTTAATGCTTTCCTAACACTATCATGTATTCTATTTAAGTTAGTAAAACATAGTTGGAACATTCATCAAAACTTTATTTTGTTAATCTAGAGCATCAAATGTCCCCCGCGGTAACAATGTGTGACTGTCAACTCTCATTCTCGTTCGACCAGGTTGTTTAACTTGCAACTCCGGACTCCCGAAAGTATTTGCCGAGCACAACTGGGAATGTTAATTGCCCAAATTATCCATCGCTTTCACACAACCATGTTTTGCCTTTAACCCAATATAAATCGGCCATCACGTTGCCTTTTACCGTTGACTAGCTCGCGCGTGTATACAGCAAACACTTGAATTTTTGCTTGATAAGTCATTTTGTCAAGAGTCAAGCCTGTCAAAGACACTCTCGTCTATATACGAAGCGGTAATCACACATGTTACCTGCCATTTTAAATAACTAAAGTGATATATACTTATTTATACTTGTACTATTCTCCCTTGTGTTTCAGATGAAAGTATATATGTTAGCTAGCCTCGCGTGAGTTAATGCTTGGTACTATGTCATCGTTGGACGCATGAATGAAATTCGAAATAAAGAATGACGTCTCGAAATCCAGGTTAGACGATTATACGGCGATATAATCTAGCGCGCGCAGTCGCAGGGTACCGTCAAAATCAATATGGCGGATCTATATTAAGGGTATCCGTGAATCATGATTTTGCGCACTTTATATAAGCACAGCAGAATATGGCTGGTACTGGCGCGCAAAGCAAAGGACCAAATCATGTATTCTTCGACATGTATCCTTCGAATCCGTCTTTGACTCAGTCAGTATTTAGCTCTATGCCTATGGAAGCCATACGTGGATGCATGCGCCAACTGACTAAACGATACTAATAAATTACTCACTTTCATCAAAACGCTTGTGGCTTTTTTCACATCGACAACAATTTCTACTAAAATAACGCTTGCTCTGCCAATAATTCTGACGCACAAAATTCCTTTCCTTGCAGCAATGAGGGTAGCGAGGAAATGCGGCACCCGATGAGATTGGCATTTCTTTGTAAAAGAAACTTTTCCGTAGTAGAATAAAGCCACAGTTTTTGCACATCCTCACATGATGACTTTATTTATAAAACAACTCCATCAAAACTATTTCCAATCTATACTGGTTGCCCAAACTCACTGGATTTCTTTATTTTGACAAACGTTTTTGTCCGTTACGTTTATGTTAACCGTCTACTAGTTTACCAGTGTAGTCTAAAGTTATCAAAAGCTCTGTTTTATGTTTATCAAAAAAATCTTTCTTTTCTTTGTATACTGACAGCTGAGTTTAGCGTACAAGAAACCGAATGACTTTCCAATCAAGGGATGTTGGTTCAGTTGATTTTCAAAAGAACAGTATATGATAGATATTTGAGCAGCTTCTTGCATTTAAATAAGCCACTTATCTCGCGTATGCCTTCAATGCTGAAAGTTTTGACAGCTACTGGTCAGAGTTCGTTTCTAGACTCCTATAGGACACGGTTGTTATGACGTCATACCTATGACGTCACAGAAAATGATCGCATGAAACCCCGGCCTTACCGATCGAATGCTTTAAGAGGAGAATCTTTTGTATGTTACGTAACACGCGCTCAAAACTATGAGCTATATTCAAATTTTTAATACATTTTTATACGTCTCTCAACCGGCAAACAAACTTTAATAAAAAATATGTTTAGTGCTTTATCTGTAAAATAATGCTAAAAATGAAGAGATTTTAGATGGCACGCCAAAGAGAAAATGATGTCTGAAGTTCGGTAGGCTTTGCTTACATTGCTGTATAAATATGGCGTCAATTTGACAGCATCAATGACAATTGTATTAAAATTGACAATTTTTAACTAGTATTATTTTGTGCCTTTCTCAACCGCCAGATACATTTAAAAAGGTTGCTAATTGTATAAACTACACTGATAAAGCTATTAAAAATGAAGTAATTTTGAGAGGAAGGCCAAAATTTTTTCCTCTTAACAATAAGCCAAATAACAATAGGTCATTTCCGAATTGCAGATGAATGGCCACACACAAAAGACTGAGAACAACTGTTAATTATTACGGGAACCACTGAGTATTTTAATAAAATATAAAACAACGCGGTAACTCCGAAAATAAACATTTTTAATATTCTAGCCTTCGAGTAAGATTCCGGATCGATCATCATCATCATCAGAAGGATCATCATCAAGATGAATCATCAGGATGTTGATTCCTGATGATGACTGAATCTTAGTCGAAAGCTAGAAATATTAAATTGTTTATTTTCGGAGTTACCGTTGTATTTATACCTGTTAATTAGTAGGAAGCTTTACAATGCAGGCAGAGCGTAATTCGGAAATGGACGATTAATTTACCGCCATACGCGAGCTTGTGGATTAGGGGGTTTCCTGCATTTCGCTGAACCTCTAGCCTGCATTCAGGCGCGGACATGGGGAACTCCTCATTCCTCAATGATATTGACCACAATTTTGTCTTGTGAGATGTGGTGAGACAGACGATCAGACACGATCTCGTTCGGCGTATGAACGAGAATCGTTGGCAAGTCATATCATAAACAGCGGCGAAATTAAACATGAAGCCACTTCACCACTTGAGGTACTTGAGCACCTGTGTTGTATTATGTGCTGTCATAAAAGTGACGCTTGCACGAGTCATGTGCAAGATGTGATGATAGACCATGATAAGTTTAACCGCAGATAGACTGATGGATATACTTTACTTTGAAGTACCTCTGAATTTTAAATGAACAATGAAAATTTTTGTTATTGTGCCTTTGCCTGCACGATATTATCAAAGCTACGAAGTGATTTCAAATTCGCGCATCTTGTCTGTTTTCACATTGACTGATTGACTGAGAAAATACGTGATCACGAAACCAAACGGATTCTCTGATTGGTTGATTATAACAATGAAACCGCACCAAACTAAAGAATTGATGAGAGTTTCGCAGTCGCGCATTGCTCCAGGGGACATTTCAAACTCTAGATTAACAAAATAAAGGTCTGATGTGTGTTCCAACTATCAAACTATGTTTTAACTTAAATAGAATACATGACAACCTCGTGCCCAGGCTCTTTCCAGCGAGGAGCGTAGTGGAAGCCTGGGTACGAGGTTGAATCATTGAACTATAAATAAACTGGAAGGCTAACTGCTATGATGAAGGCCTATGATTTGATGAAGCCAAAATAGTTTTTCTGAGTTATGAGCAGAAATACTTGACCCCAAACGTCGGGCTATATATCAATTGAAGCTATTGAAAATTGCTATTCGGTGTGGAAATTTCAAGACTTCAGCGAAAAGAAAAATATTTAAAAAATACAAAAACAACTGCAAAACGGCAAATTATCGGTAATTATGTTTGTAGTTTTTCAATATTTCCCTTTTAGCTAAAGTCTTGAAATTTCTACACCAAATAACGTTTTTCAATAGCTTCAATTTGATATATAGCCCAACGTTCAGTGTTGAGTATTTCTGCTCATAACTCAGAAAAACTAAAATGCACTAGCTTCAATT